TGAGTACTGAACAATGTATAACTAGCTCTTAATTGCATCTTATTTTGTATGGGCAATGTGCTAAACATTGGGACTGAAAGAATAATAAAGACCTGGGATGAGGGGCCCCTACTTTGTAAGGAGAGCCATACATTCAATTGTAATCTGTGTTTTATCAGATGTGGAAAGTTGCCCTGAGAACTGGGTAGACAGAGCAATTCCCTTTTTTCTATGAGAGATAAAAGTTGAGAGAGAGGAAAAATTAGGACCTGTACCTTGAAAATTTGTAAGAGTAGAAAGTACAGAACTGTGTTTTTTCACTCTGAAAATGTTGGATGGATAGTGGTAAGGTAAGAGAGAGTAATAGAGAATTGAAAAGGTGGATAAAGATAAATGTATATAATTGTTCATATACTTTTGATTACAGTAATATATTGAGGTATGCATTTTCTCTATCACATTCATACTTTCTTCATATAGAGGAAACATATTAAAATCAGATCAAACTGCACATTTGCACAAGATTTCAAGAAACTTGCTATTTTTCTTGAGTTGTGAGTGCTTCGTGTTTAGATATTGTTGAATCATTTGCAATTTACTCCATTATTGACCTAAAGCCACAGCCTTGCAATGTTGGTTTCTAGACAGATATGTCATTCTTGGAGGTCACCGAGACTCATGGGTCTTTGGGGGCATTGACCCTCAGAGTGGAGCAGCTGTTGTTCATGAAATTTTGAGGAGCTTTGGAAAACTGAAAAAGGAAGGTAATATAAACAAAAATTAAAAGAACAGTCTCTTTGAATTCTCAACTAAGTCTTCTGTAGTGTTAATTTGAAAATATCATCTTAGCTGTTACTATATATTGATCAAAATAGAAGACAGCCATTATTATTAGATAATTTATTTATTAATTTTAATTTATTACAGACTATGGTATTATTGGTAGCATGAATTAAATGATAATCTAACATGAAGGAATTGCACTGTTCTTGGCTGCTCTTGGTAACCAAGAAGATGTAGCCAGGTTCTTCCATAAAAGGTCATAAGCCAAAGCTTTCCTGTCAGAGAGCTGCAAACAGAAATTCCTGGGCTCCTTCAGTCTCACTCCTCAGGTCATGAAGACTAAGGATATAGAAGCTATGCCCAGAGAAATACTAATCTGGCTGTCTAATGGGATTCTGCTCCCTGTAGGGTGTCTGTTCTCTCCTATTCTCATCCATATGCTTAGAACCACTGATTCAGTCATTTTAGAATCTTCATATGAAAACCAAAATAAAAAATGTAGTTTNGCTGCAAACAGAAATTCCTGGGCTCCTTCAGTCTCACTCCTCAGGTCATGAAGACTAAGGATATAGAAGCTATGCCCAGAGAAATACTAATCTGGCTGTCTAATGGGATTCTGCTCCCTGTAGGGTGTCTGTTCTCTCCTATTCTCATCCATATGCTTAGAACCACTGATTCAGTCATTTTAGAATCTTCATATGAAAACCAAAATAAAAAATGTAGTTTTAATGATTTTCAAAGTAATTTTTATACCTTGAGAGCAGCAAGTCTATTCTCTTTTCTGACCCTGCAAACCAGGTGTCTGAGCGCTATAAGATACAAACATTATATTTAAGCAACAGTAAAAACAACAGTGAAAGTATGTTTAGTTTGCATGCTATTTATTTTCTTTGAGAAACAGTGTTCTCATATAAATGACTCATTTTGACTTTATAACAACCAGGGAAATGTTTATGTAGTTATTTTAGTATTTCTTTTGCAGATAAGTTAACCAAGTTTAGAGAATTAAATAATTTCCCCAGGGTCATGTAGGTAATATGTGGCCCAGTGAGAAAATCAGAGTTTAGACTGAAATTTCTGGGTACTGGTTCACAAAACCATRTTGTCTCTAATTAAAATGAAATACAAGGGTTCTCCATTCTCTTTTCCACAGAAATATCTTAGGTTTTAAGAAAATAAACCAATGGAGACCTGAATTTACATATTAAATAAATTAGTAGTGTTTAATCTTATTACAAAAAACTTTATGATTTTAGTCAGGCATCATGGTGTACATCTATAATCCCAGGAGTTCAGGAGGCTGAGACAAAGAATCACAAATTCAAAGCCTTAGTAAGTCCCTAAACAATTTAGTGAGACTGTGTCTCTAAATAAAAATGTAAAAAAGGGCTGGGGATGTGACTTACTGATTAAGTGCCCCCTAGGTTCAATCCTTAGTTTGACTCTCCCACACATTAAAGTTTCATGATTTGATATGACACTGGAAAATCCCTATGATAAATGCAAAACATGTCTGTGGCAATTATAGAGTATGCTGAAACAATGAAATTATAAGGAATAATAATAGGAAATTTGAATAATGCTGTTAAAATCTTGATAAAAACAGGACGTTAAATTCAACAGCTATAGGATAAGCATTCTTTTTTGGGATGTGTTTATGTGTGTGTAGACACATTTTAATATAGCTTATTTAGCAACTAAAATATAAACATAAGCCAGGATAAATATTCCTAATAAATACACATGAAATATTTACTGACAATGACAGCTTAGAATTTTGTGATCACTAGGTGCTTTTTGAGCATTGCTCCATTTAACCCCCAATAGTCAAGTAGTGACTTCACATTTATTCTGTTGTCCTGGTGTGATGAGGAGATAGACTTGGTCAGTTTGAATAACTCACCTCATGACACCTCTTGTAAGTGAGAGAATCAAGATTTGAACAAATCTTTCTTTAACTCTGTGGCTAGAGTCTTACTGCCCAGCCACATGACCTCCCCCACTGAATTACACATATTTCAGCAGCAACAGCCATTGCTGTTGCTAAT